GGAAAATTAGCTGCTTTCATTTTAAATCTTGAGCTAAATGTAAGGCTTCCAAGTTTTGGAGGAGACACCCTAAGGGGGTGTTCCTAGGGATTTTGGATTGTGAGGTTCCCATTGTTTAACCACCAGAAATGGAAACCGACCTCACGCAGTGGCAAAGCGTCCTTTGCCGCTGCTAGAGACCGGGGGCTCCTGGAGCCACTAACGGAGAATTGAGGAACTTCAAGACGGACGTCTCCAGGTTGAAGACCTCACTGCGCCACAGGGTGGCTACGTCCTTGGGCGTACGTACGACTCCAGGCCAAGGACACGGAAACGGACGGAGATGGTTAACAAAGGGGAGTACTCGCCGAAGAAGAAATTCTCAGAGCGGCACCAGTGGAAAGCTGGAACACTTGTTCGGTGTTGGTGGCTGGTTGGGTTGGGAGCCGGTTCGCTGGGGAGGAGGTTCCTCAGACCCCTAGGGGATGTTGAGGAAGGGTCTCCTCCCAGGTTGGGTTTCAGCACCAGCTGTTTTAATTTAATTTAATGTAACTTAATTTAGGAGAGCTAAGTAATTAAACATGAGGCCAAAGTACGTAAGAAAGGGCAGTCTTTTATTTGCAAATATGCATACACTCTCGGATGAGGTTCTCTGGTCCTCAGGTGTAGGGGGCCGGGGAAGTCGCGCCGGCGCTCTCGGGTGATGTTCTCCAGTCCACAAATGTGGGGGGCCGAAGAAGGCACGCCGGCTCCTGCTGGCAGCGGACTTTTATGCCTGGGAGCTGGGAAAGCGGTTGGTAGCGGGACTGCCACTAAGGGAGCTTTTCCGAGCGCAGCGCAAAGGAAGCAGTGGGAGAGGTTCCGTACTCCAGCAGCCTGGGTTAAGTCCCTGGTGAATAAGTGTTAGCCATGAGAATGGGTCCTCATTGTTAAGGGGGTTTGGGGGGCTTAACAGCTTCTGTATTTTCTGTTCATGAGATTTTACAACTGAGGTTAAATTTTGTAGGGCCTGTACACTCTTAGGAGGATATACTTGTTTACTCTTAGGGAGGGGTACTTGTTGCATGTATACTCTCTTTATTTGGAGGGTTGCGGTGGGATATGAGGACCAAGATGTTGCATATAGTCCACCTTTAACTCCCTGAGCCCACCGGGGGTCCCAGGGATCCAGCCGCTTTCAATATCACCACCGACTCTACCAGCTCCTCTCAAGCAACATCCTTGCCTCAAGTCCCATTATACCGTAATCCACAGAGTCAAACCCTTCCTTTTTACTACTCTACTCCAAACTCTTCATGGTGTGATCGCACACAAGCTCCCAGCAGGACCCAGACGGCCCCCATTGGAGGCCACTTTTGGTGTAACCAAACTCTATCTAAAACTCTTAACCATACCTCCATCACCCAGTCCCTTTGCGTTCCGGTATCTTTAGTGCCTAGCTTAACCCTATATAGCGAAGGAGAATTGTCCGAACTAGCTTCCCAGCTCAGCTCCAGCAATAACATCCAAAAGCGAGCTGTTTTTCTTCCCTTAATTATCGGGGTTTCCCTAGCATCGTCCCTAGTAGCCTCAGGACTTGGAACAGGGGCCCTCACCCACTCGATTCAATCCACACAGACCCTCTCCACTCAGGTCCAGGCAGCCATAGAGGCTTCAGCTGAAAGCTTAGCCTCTTTACAACGTCAAATCACCTCAGTGGCCCAGGTAGCAGCACAAAATAGACGGGCATTAGATGTTCTTACTGCTGAAAGAGGAGGAACATGCCTCTTCCTAGGGGAGGAGTGTTGCTACCACGTAAATGAATCAGGCCTGGTTGACACCAACGTCCAAACATTAAACAAAATCAAAAAGGAGCTTCAACAATTTAACACCCCCTTAACCCCCGGACCACCGGTATGGCTGCTGCCTGTAGTACAGCAGATGCTTCCATTCCTAATTCCCATACTAATCCTCTGTCTTATGTTATGTCTTGCTCCCATTCTAATAAAATTTCTCCGAGCCAGGGTCCAAGAGATCACCCAAGTCACCTTCAACCAAATGCTCCTGCATCCCTACACCCAACTGCCAACCTCAGACCCTAACTACGCCCCTTAACAGCAGGAAGCAGCCAGACAGACCACGGCGCCCTAAATTCTTATAATCAATAAGAGGTTGGACTGTTTGGGTGATGGAAAAGGGACAAGATGGAGGAAGGTGAACAAGATGGAGCAGTTCCTGTTGTTTCCGGGTTCTTCATCACAGATTTTCCCACGCCCGGGAAAAGAACCAAGTCAACTGAGCATGCTCAGAGTGACATCAAGCCGGGGACACCGAAATTCAAGAAGCCACTCCTACACACATGCCCCAAACTCCTCCCCTTCCAGCTCCCAGGCATAAAAGTTGGCCGCTGGTAAGTGCCGATGTGACTTCTTCGGCCCCTCACATTCGTGGACCGGAGAACATCACCCGAGAGCACCGGCGTGACTTCCCTGGCCCCCTACACCAGAGGACCAGAGAACCTCGTCCGAGAGTGTATGCATATTTGCAAATAAAAAACTGCCACTTTCTTACGTACTTTGGCCTCATGTTTAATTACTTAGCTCTCTTAAATTAAGTTACATTAAATTAAATGAAACAAAACAGTGGCAACAGTACATTAGGGGCAGGTGCCCTCTGTAGAGTTTCTCCAAGTGCTGGACCCTGACCAGCAGCCTCAGAGTCACCTGCAGCGCTCATTAGCCACATAGCTTTCAGCCCCAACTCCAGACCTTCTGAGTCTGAGGCTGGGGTCTAGGAATCTGCCAAGGATTCTTCTGACAGCTCAGGTTTCAGAACCACTATTCATGAGGGAAAGAAAAATATTAAGGGCTAAGACAGAGCAGCTATGAGATCCAGGAACCTGTTGTCACATGGAAAGTCTCCTTTTCCACCAATCTTGCAGAGCAGTTTGGCTTCATTCAAGAAGCCACTCAGTTTCCTTATACCTACCTTCTGGGTTGATGTGAGGAGGAGAAATAATGTACAAATAGTGCCTAATGCTCAACAAAAGGTAGCTATTAATAACATTATTATTAATAATCAAGACCCCCTCACTTTTCACAGGTTGTACATTCCTAACCCCATCATGAAGGAAGTTCATGTGGAACAGAACAACCTTCCTGGTGTTATTATAAGACTGCAACATTGTGTAATGAGATACACTTTCAGAGGCAATCAAGGTCAGCTGTGACCAATAGAGACCACGATCCTAACAGAAAATGAACCCCACTCAATTAATGGCTTACCATTTTCATTCTCAAAGGCATTTCTTCTTCTTTAACACCACTTATTTTGAATAGCTAGTATATGTAGACTGTACAAACTTCAAAAAGAACAAAGAAAGATACAATGAAAAGTCAGTGTCACTCTTGCTCATCCTTAGAGGTAGCCACTACTAACATTTCTCCAGTATCTTTGCAAACATGAATGTATATATTTTCTTTGTCCCTATGCACAATGAGTAGCATACTTCATACACTATTCTGAACCTGGTTTTTTTTCTTGAAAATAAAAAAGATATTTCATATCAGCACATATAGAGTTCCAACGGCTGTATACTAATCCACTAAATGGATGCACCGTGATTTATTTAACTCTCTCCCTATGGATGGATATGTAAACTCTAATCTTTCCATACTAAAAACAATGCTGTACACATGAAATTACACAAACTGGCTTGTCTATCCTTGGAAATCCCTAGATGGGCTTGCTGGGTTAAGGGGGATGTCCATTATTAACACTAATACACTGCGGGTCACTAACGTTGAGAATTCCTGTTCACCAAAGGCATTTTATTTCTTTTTTTAATTTTAGAGACAGGATTTCCCTCTGTTACCCAGGCTGGAGTGCAACGGCACAATCTCGGTTCACTACAACCTCCACCTCCCAGGTTCAACCGATTCTCGCGCCTCAGCCTCTCGAGTGGCTGGGATTACAGGCGCGCATCACCACGCCCGGCTAATTTTTGTATTTTTAGTGGAGACGAGGTTTCACTATGTTGGGCAGGCTGGTCTCAAACTCCTGACTTCAAGTGATCCACCTGCCTCAGTCTCCCAAAGTGCTGTGATTACAGGGGTCAGTCACCGCGCCCGGCCACCGGAGGCATTTTAAATGATCATCCACATTAGAAACGAAACGAAACCACCTGGAAAGGCAAGCAAAAGCCTTCAATGTGTTCCTTTCTCTGCCTTGGTGATCCGAAAGTCGTGCTGCGGCTTATGTACCTAGGCGAGGGTCGCGTGCTAATGGTCCCTTTCTTTTCAATATGCACCCGCGGTGGGACTCATAGAACCTTTATTTTCAACACGTAAGCAGTCACGCTCCCTCCAGCCTAAGGCTTTGTGTTATTCTTAAATGCTTTCCTCCTCCAACGCTGCGGCTCCCTCACGAGCCCGTAGCTGCGGCGCGCTGGTGAGGAGCCCCGGCCCTGGGTGCCGTCCGCCACCTGGAGGGACCGGTCCGGGGGAAAGTGCTCGGGAGAAGCCAGGGGCCCCGGCTGCGGTCGCTGGCCCGGGGCTCTGTGCACTCCCCAGTGCCCGGAAACCGCAGGTGGCCCAGCTGGCGGGACGGGTCTGCCCACGAGGATGCGGGAAGCGCGGGGGACGCGGGCCGCCTGGCCAAGGTGCCCTTGCCAGGAATCGGCGCAGACACAGGCCCTGGGCGCCGGGGGAACCCAGCTAGTCCCACCGCGCGCTGCGCCGCAGGGGCCCCACTGCAGGGGGCCCCAAGACCGCGCGACGCTCGGCAGGGCGCCCACAGCCCTGCGGGCCAGAGAGATGTCACCTCCACGCCCCCGCGGGCCGGGAGCCGCTGGAGCCTAGCAACCGCCTGTCAGCCCCAGCCCCGCCCCAGCCGTTTTACGGCAGCGGGCCCCGCCCCCGTGCGCCACAGAGGGCGGGAAGGAGGTGTGCGGCGCGAGCCAGCCAGTCCGCGCCACCATCTCCGGCCCTGCGCCCTGTCATTGGCCGAGAGCCGGGCGGCGCGGCACGGCCGTAAGGCGTGGCGGGGTGTCGTGAGGCGGGCCCCAGAGCTAGCTCGCCGTCGGCCGCCGAGGGGTTGGCCTGGGTGTCATTGGCTCTGGGAAGCGGCAGCAGCGGCGGTGTCCACTCGGGGTCTGGTGTCGGCACAGCCATGGCTGGCGCGCTGGTGCGGAAAGCGGCGGACTATGTCCGAAGCAAGGATTTCCGGGACTACCTCATGAGGTGACGAGCGCCGGAGGCCGGACCCGGCAACCCGGAGGGGCGCCCAGGAGGCTGCGACCCGTGCAGTCCGCGACAAGGGCGGCCGCGAGGACGCGGTGGCCCCGGGCAGCGGGTGGGCCCGGGCCCAGGCGAGAGGGTGCGCTGGTCAGGGGGCCCCTACCTAGATCCCTCCCGGACCCCCACGCCGCGAAGCGGACGGCGTAGAGAGCCGTTGACAGTGGGCGCCTTTCAGGGTGGGGGTGACAGTGGGTGTCCTCTGCCGGCAGGGTGACAGTGGGCGCCCCTCAGGGCGTGAGTGACAGTGTCCTCTCCCGGCAGGGTGACAGTGGGCGCCCCTGAAAGCAGGGGTGACATTGGTTGCCCTTCAGGGAGCGGGTGACGGTGGGCGTCCCTCTTGGCCAGGGTGACAACGGGGACTCCTCTCCTGGTAGGAATAACAGTGGACGCCCTTCCCGGCCAGAGTGGCAGTGGGGACCGGGAGGGACGAAAGTGACAGTGGGCGCCCCTCAGGACATGGTGACAATGGGGACGCCTCTCCCGGCAGGGGTGACAGTGGGCGCCCCTCAGGGCAGGGTGACCGTGGAGACGCCTCTCCCGGCAAGGGTGACAGAGGCTGGTTCCTCTAGCATGGTTGGCAGTGGGGGAATGTCCCTCCAGGCCAGGTGCCAGTGGCTCGCTCCTTTGCGCGGGAGTGGTCTCCTGGCCGGTTTCTACCAGATCCTCGGAGTGGGTCGCCGGTCACCTGCATCGGTCCAGGTGTGCTAGAGGCCGCGACCTGGGCGTGGGTTGGGGAGACGCCAGCGGGAGGCGCTGCTGAGAGCGCGGCGCGGCGCGGCGCTGTTGGAGCGGAGCTTCGGGTGCACCCAGCGCGCTTCTGGGACAACGGAAATAAAATGTGCTGGCCTTGGGTTCGCCTTTCGATTTTCTCATTATAAGGACTTTAAGCTTGGGAGGAAGTACAATTTAAGATGTTTTTATATACGAAATTCTGTCATCCAAAGTAAAGTGATGTGTCTCTAAGGACGTACCTTTTTCTTCTTGTTCTATTTTCTGTTAACTCCTTTCCAATTAGAAACAAGGAGCATTCGCGGTTGGAAAGCCTGAAAATACGCTATAATTTATTTGCACCTCTAATCTTGAGACGCTTGCTTTTATTTCAAAATATTGAATATAACTTTGAAGCAGTTTTAGGTTATTTAGGAGTATTTTAGTTTTTCAGTGAATGATTTTAAAACCAAGGTAAGTGTACAGCTGCGTTTTTTTTTCAGTAGTTAATAGTGTGGTCAAGAGGTAAAGAGATGAAAGCTGAGGAGGAATAAATCCTGTTATAACCATCCAAAAGGTATAGTATGAAGACAACTTGATTTTAGCAATAAATAAGTTTTAAATCCTGAATTTTATTGCTAATACTTTTTACTTCTACTTTTATAGAGCACTAGGGTAGGGAAAATAATTGAGTCTGCCGTATGGTAAACTTGTAAACGGAAGCTTCACTTCTGACTTTAAAAAAAAGACATTTCTATGCTTAAATCGAACTATGATTAATTAAGATGGATATTTAGTACTGTGGAGCACAGCAATTTATCAGATTCATGGTAGTAAAAATGTGAACAAAGTAGCAATCTGAGGATATACTCTTAATCCTTGGACTTAAGTTTCTTTCCAGCTTTGAATTTTAGCTTTTTACTAATATCTTGTATAATGAACCTTCCTAATAGTTACAGCTAAAGATAACATTGGATGGTAAAATTAAAAATACAGTTTTGACACCTACCTATATAAAAATTATGGTGATAATTACCTAACAGTTTTCTTTTTTCTTTTTGAGACGGAGTTTCACTCTTGATGCCCAGGCTGGAGTGCAGTGGTGCTACTTTGGCTCATCCAAACCACTGCCTCCTGGGTTCAAGTTATTTTCCTGCCTTAGCCCCAAGTAGCTGCGATTACAAGCATGCGCCACCAAGCCCGGCTAATTTTGTATTTTTAGTAGAAACCGGGTTTTTCCATGTTGGTCAGGCTGGTCTCAAACTCCCGACCTCAGGTGATCCGCCCACCTCGGCCTCCCAAAGGGCTGGGGTTAACAGGTGTAAGCCACCATGCCTGGCCCTAACAGTTTTATTACATAGGAAGAATTTGTTAAATATATTTTCAAGGAAGAGAGCTCTGCTTTTCTAAGTGTTATATTTTCTTCTACTAGATGGGTTTCCAAGAGCCAGGCTTTTCAAAAGGATACTTCAGTATATCATCTAACCTTCTTTTCTAAAATTAATTTTATGTAGCTTTAAATTTTTGTACTTTCTCCAGTATTTAATTCAATTATACTTTGACTAAATAAGGAAAAGAAGAGAACTGCATTACTCAGAACAGTGTTGCCTGGTAGAGCACCAGACTAGGATTCAGAAGAATGACTCATGGTCCAGGATCCCCAGCAAGTTGATCCCAGCAGACTTTATTTGCCCATCAAATGGGTTTAATGATAATGCTCTTTTTGGGTTATCAAGAAAATTAAATTGGATAAGGGATGTGAAAATACTAGGAAACTCCAAATCACTCTACATTTTATTATATCCTTCTGTTTTTGTAAGCAAAAACACTTTGTAAAGTTTATATTTATTTAGAAAGTTAAAATCTTGTGTGAGCTATAAAGCTCTATGATCTTGAACTGAAATTATTTTTGAAAGGTGAACACGTGTGTGAAACATTCAGCTGACCTGTTTTCCCTGCCATTCTTGGCAGCAGTGGGAATTCATGCTAGGTCTGCCAAACAGTGATTGAGGGCCAGTTTGAGGTCAGGTATCAAAACTCTGACCAGCTTTTTATTTTAGTGTTTCCTCCCCTAGAAAGAGAAACCTTTCTTCCTAGAACATATCAGAGGGAAGTACTTCCTATTTGTTCTTCCAAGCTTTTTGCTTACAGCCCGGCTTTTCTTTAGCAAAGGAGAATAAAATATAAAGCAGAAAACGTAATTATATCTCTCTTCTAATCAGAAACAAGGTTCTATCCCTTCCTCTTTTTACTTCATCAGTTGCCTGTTGTACATACTTTGCATGCTCCGCATTCTTTTTGTAGCCTTCTGAAGGGGTCTAGAGGTTTTCTCAACTAAAGCTGTTTTAGAATTTTAAAAATTAATTGAATTTTTCAGCATAAATTTAAAATCATATTTTACACATTATAAATTTTATTTCAATCATGTTTTATGAATCAAATTGAACATTCTTACTAAACTGAATTTCCAAGTGTATTTATTTATTTAGAGACAGGGTGTTACTCTGTCACCCAGGCTGGAGTGCAATGGCATGATCATAGCTCACTGTAACCACCCACTCCTGGGCTTAAGTGAGCCTCCTGCCTCAGCCTCCCAAGTAGCTAGGGCTATAGGTGTGCACAATCATACCTGGTTAGTTTTTTGTTTTTTTGTAGAGATGGGACCTTGCTATGTTGACCTGGCTGTTCTTGAACTCCCAGCCTCAAGCAGTCCTCCCATCTTGGCCCAAAGCTCTGGGATTATAGGCATGAACCACTATGCCCAACCCATCCACATGTATTTTAAATGATGATTTTTTTTTTTTTTTTTTAACTGAAAGAGTTTATGAAACCGGCTCTCACTTAGGACACCTAAGAACCAAAGGCAATGTGTGGACTTTGATTGGGCCTAGTGTGAAAAAACAGCTGGAAAAGGCATTACTGGGATAACAGAACACTTAAATAGGATCTCAGTATTAAATAATATTAAATAATTATTGGAAATTGTTAGTTGTGATAATAGTACTGTTAAACCTAGGTGATGAGTCTGAATGATGGATTTGAAGCCCAACTCTTGCTTTCCAGCTTTGTGAGCTTGGGCAAATTGTTTCGCTTTTGTGCTTTGGTAGCTGTTTAATGACATAGTATATAGCACTTGACAAAAGTAAGTGTTGAATTTATTTTTTATTGTAACTAATATTGCATGTTTAATCCCCAGGATTTCTGGTACTCTCTTTTTGGTACTTTCTTCTATCTATTCTTACTTACCTTGATTAGTATCTTGAACCAAGAACTTCCTGGGTCTCTATTCCAATACCTTTTTCTTAAGAAACGATTCCCTCACCTTTCTTATTGACAGAATAAAGAAAGAGAGCTTTTATTTGCTTTTCCTCTTCTCTCATTCTCCTTCCTGGATTTCTGGTTAAGAAGAATAAATCAGAATAAGCAAAAAAGTTTTGAGGTAGGACATATATTTTAATGATTAACTCAATCAAGGTCTGTGCAGCTTTATTCTAGAGACTGATTCCTCTTCTCAAGTTGTGTATATTACAGTAAAGGTGAATGGATACCCCCCCCCCACACACACACATATGTATTTGTATATGTGTGCAGAGGATGTTTTCTTAAGAAGAAACTAGATCATAGAGTGCTTTAAAATCAGTTAATCATTTAGCATGCTTATGAATCTGGTTAGTGGGATGTTTGCATTGAATATTCTCAAGTTAATGAGGTATTCTAAATTAATTTTAACTTCTGAGTCTCCAGGAAAGCTTTCAGAATTTATACTTACTACCCAGGTGAGAAGTTGCAGTAGAGTAAAAGGGAATCTTTCCCAAACTTGTGGAATTTTAGAGTCGGAACGGGCCTTAGAAATTCCAGTGCTTCATTTGCCACATGAGAAGGCTGATATCTGAACCAAACAGATAACTTCAGAACTTCTGGATACCAAACTTATGAAGCTAAAACAGAAATGTCAACTTGGGATTTAAAGGAAAATAATAATGCGTAGAAACGGTTTTGAAAAGAAGGTTTTAGATATTTTTGTGCTCCATGTTTTCCTGCATATGTCTCCCTTTTCTCTGTCAAACTGCTTTTCACACCTGGTCCTTGGACTCTTTGAGCACTTCCCTGCCATATAATTGACTTTCAGAAATTGAATGAAGCTGTAAATGTCGAAGCAAGACTGGCCATAAGAGTCTCTTAATATCTGGATAGTCCAGTCACAAAGGTCTTTACTGTCATTCAGCTGACTTTTG